GCAGTGGCCAAAAATACCAGGTGCCATCAGGAGGTCTAGCAGTGGGGCCAGGACCCTAGAACCCCTCCCACTGTTGGACCCCCCCCCCCAAGCACCAAGAAGACATCCACCCTCCAAAGCAGCCATTTTCTCCAGGGGAACTGATCTTTGTGAGCTGGGGACCATTGGTGATTCTGGGAGACCTCCAGGTCCCAATAGGAGCTTATGGGAAAGTATATGGCACTGTGTATAATAGATGTATGAGGTTAGATTTATTCTGTGCTTTTTATTTTTCTTTCCTTAATTTTTCTAGAAGAAGAAGAGATTGGATTTATACCCCGCCCTTCACTCGGAGTCTCAAGAGTGGCTTACAAACTCCTTTCTCTTCCCCTCCCCACAACAGACACCCTGGGAGGTAGGTGGTAGGTGGGGCTGAGAGAGCTCTGAGAGAACTGCTCTTGAGAGAACAGCTCTGACAGAACTATGGCTTGCCCAAGGTCATCCGGCAGCTGCAAATGGAGGAGTGGGGAATCAAACCCGGTTCTCCCAGATTAGAGTCCGCGCACTTAACCACTACACCAAACTGGCTATATTATACCATATCTCTATTATATAAACTGGCTCTCTGTACTATTATATAAATATTGGTGTCAAGTCTTACCAAACATAGGTTCACCAAAATAATACATCAAAATGCAGGTTTACACTATGTTCAAACATTCAAACAGCACCTTGTCAGTTTCACAACCACCGGCCCCACGGACTCTAGTAATTTACCTGTATCGAATGCAATCGTTTTCCAGGACAGTGATATACATACAAGACACAAGGCGCAATAAATTCTCTTTGTGAGCATAAAGCTCTTAAAACAGCAGCATTCTTCTTAGCAGCTGCCTGATAGAACTTGAGAGAGATGTTCTCCTAGATAAGTGATTATGTTTGCCGCAAGGGTTCTGATGGGACCCGAGAAAAACGCTACTGTAACGATTCCATGTTTTACTGTGTGTGTGTGTGTTTAAAAGTTGGTTGGAATGGCTGTGTGGGACAATCTAGAATGCTGAAACAGGCAAGTTGTGTGATTGGTGAGTGACAGAGAGGGGGAGGGGTTTTGGAATGGATGCTGTGTGGATGATTTGAATGTCTTTCAGGTGTGACTGTTAGGTATGACAGTTGATGAAGACAGTTGGGGAGTCTGTAAAAGTATGGTATGAGAGAGAGTTAAGTTAAGTGCTGTCTCTGAGTGAAGGAGACTCAATCCCTGTGTGGGAAAGATTTGGTTCTATGTAGTAAAGGAGTTAAACAGTCTGTTCATTTTAAAGTCTGATGAGAGAGAAGACTTTTGTGTGTTATGGAAAGTTAAAGCATAAAGAAACAGTAACCATATATGGCATAAGGAAATATTAGTTACAGAGTGACATGCTCAGATCCCTGTCAGCCAAAGAGCAGACCTTATGTGAGACATAAAGCAAGAGTTAAGAATATTCACAGTACCAGTTACCTCGTACTACTATATTATTTACAAGTTATTTGAATAAATATACTTTATTTCAAGATACAAGTTCTGAAAGAAATCCTTTCTCAGGACCACATAGTTCCTCGAGACGCCTAGACCCCGGGCTACAATACCAACCCAGAAGAAGAAATATATTAGTATAAAGGTGTGGAAAGCCTTAAATTTTCCTGGTGGCGGCGAGAGTACCCTGAGAGCAATACATAAAGAACTTTTAAAGTAAAACTAGACCTCCCCAAATAAGAGGGCGTCACAGCTACCCTGAACAAAAGGTTTTTAAGTCACTCACCAGGCTCCCTCCCATATCCGTTTCAATCCAGCCTGGGTGCAGAGAGATACACAGGATTCCATCCGGCTCCAAATCGACAGCGAGGCACCTCGTGATCATATTCAGTGCCGTCTGGAGGCGGGGAGAGAACAAGGAAGAAAAGGAGAAAGAGGATCTTACTGCACAATCTTGTGCTAGTTTACTCAAGAGGAGGGCCCACTGTGTAATGGTAAGACTTAAAGGTAAAGGTTCCCTTGCTCGAAAGCCAGTCGAGTCCGACTCTAGGGTTGCGGTGCTCATCTCCGTTTCAAAGCCGAAGAGCCAGCACTGTCCGAAGACGTTTCCGTGGTCATGTGGCCGGCATGACTAAACACCAAGGCGTATGGAACGCTGTTACCTTCCCACCAAAGTGGTACCTGTTTATCTACTTGCAATTTCTTGCTTTCGAACTGCTAGGTTGGCAGGAGCTGGAACTAGAGACGGGAGCTCACTCCATCATGCGGCACCCAGGTCTCGAACTGCTGAACTACTGACCTTCCACAGCCTGCAGTTCTGCGTCTTAACCACTTGAGCCACCGCAGCTCCATTTAAAGCTCCCTTGGTGGCGAGGTACAAATCCAATCTCCTCTTCTTCTTCCTGCCCTCCCTCTCACGATCTCGTGGAAAGGGTTGTGGCCCATCCACTCAGCATGCCTAGGCAATTCTCTAGGGTGGCAGAGAGACAGAGGGCCACCAACCAGCCAGAAATCTTTGGCCCAGATCCCTCTGTCCACAACAGATGAAGCGGCCTTCTACGGAATCAGACCCGGAGTCCATCAGAGTCAGTCTTGTCTATTCGGACTGGCAGCGGCTCTCCAGGGTCTCAGACAGACGTCTTTCCCATCCCCTCATACCTGACTGTTTTTTTTATCAGAGATGCTGGGGATTGAACTTTGACCCTTCTGCATGCCAAGCAGAGAGTCTACCCCTGAGCCGCCGCAGCGGCTGCTGTGATCTCCCAGGTCAAAGTCCAAAATTATCCCCTGTCATCCTATCCTGGCTCTCAAAAAAGTTTCAGGTCTACAGCTTGGAAGTCTGCTCCGGCTTTCTGCTCTCCCGCGGAACGCTCCGGAAGGGACCATTCCACCCACCCACCGCAGGAGTTCACGAGGACGCCACCCACCTTCGCTATCCTGTAAGGGTACACCATCCGGAAGTCATCGGCCTGGACGAGCTCCATGGAAGCCGATATCGAGGACATGTTCACGACGGCCGCGCGGTGACACCCCATCCCAGTGCTCTGCTGGGCGGCTTTCCTCAGCAGGGGGAGAAAAGCCTACGAGGAAAATTCAAGGGGGGGAGAAAGGAGGAGGAGGAGAAGAGATTGGGTTTATACCCCGCCCTTCACTACCCACGGGAGTCTCAGAGCGGCTGACAAACTCCTTTCCCTTCCCCTCCCCACAACAGACACCCTGTGAGGCAGGTGGGGCTGAGAGCTCTCTCTTAAGAACTGCTCTTTCAAGGACAGCTCTTGTCAGGACTACGGCTTGCCCAAGGTCATCCAGCCAGGTGCACGTGGAGGAGTGGGGAATCAAACCCGGTTCTCCCAGATTAGAGTCCACACACTTAACCGGAAGAGGAAGAGGAGGAAGAAGAGGAAGAAGAAGAGGAAGAGGAAGAGGAAGAAGAAGAAGAGGAAGAGATTGGATTTATACCCCACCCTTCACTACCCGAAGGAGTCTCAGAGCGGCTGACAAACTCCTTTCCCTTCCCCTCCCCACAACAGACACCCAGTGAGGCAGGTGGGGCTGAGAGCTCTCTCTTAAGAACTGCTCTTTCAAGGACAACTCTGGTCAGGACTACGGCTTGCCCAAGGTCATCCAGCCAGGTGCACGTGGAGGAGTGGGGAATCAAACCCGGTTCTCCCAGATTAGAGTCCACACACTTAACCGGAAGAGGAAGAAGAAGAAGAGGAAGAAGAAGAGGAAGAAGAAGAGGAAGAGATTGGATTTATACCCCGCCCTTCACTACCCGAAGGAGTCTCAGAGCGGCTGATAAACTCCTTTTCCCGTCCTCACAACAGACACCCTGTGAGGTGGGTGGGGCTCAGAGAGCTCTGACAGAAACAGCTCTTTTTCAAGGATAGCTCTTGTTAGAATTACGGCTTGCCCAAGGTCATCCAGCCAGGTGCATGTGGAGGAGTGGGGAATCAAACCCGGTTCTCCCAGATTAGAGTCCGCGCACTTAATCCCTACAAGAAGAAGAAGAGGAGATTGTTGCTTTCCCCCCCCAACAACAGCTGTGCCAGAACTATGGCTTGCCCAAGGTCATCCAGCGGCTGCGGCTGGAGGAGTGGGGAATCAAACCCGGTTCTCCCAGATAAGAGTTCACGCACTTAACCCCTGCACCAGACTTCAAGATGCTGCTTTTTAGGACCAACCGTGCTGCTTTTTGAATTCTAATATAATTGCTGCTGCTGGTGATTAGCTAATCGTCTAGGTCAGGGGTCCCCAACGAGATGCCCGTGGGCAGCGTAGTACCCGCTGACACATTTCCTGACACCCGCCAAGTGCTTTTAGAAAGTGGGCAGGGCTAGGGGAGGTTCTATCCCAGCAGGGCTTCTGACTGGTTGTGCAGATTGAAAGCCATCCTGTTAAACAGAGCTTCTACCTGAAATTTTGGAGAAGAGGAGATTGGATTTATACCCCGCCCTTCACTCGGAGTCTCAGAGCAATTTACAATCTCCTTTCCTTTCCCTGTCCCACAACAGACACCATGTATGTGGGGCTGAGAGAGCTCTTTCGAGGACTGCTCCTGAGAGAACAGCTCTGAGAGACCTTGTGACTGACCCAAGGTCATGCCAGCAGCTGCATGTGGAGGAGTGGGGAATCAAACCCAATTCTCCCAGATTACAGTCTGTGCTCTTAACCACTACACCAAACTGGTGTATATAGTCTTGAGAGAAGAAGAAGAGAAGAGATTGGATTTATACCCCACCGTTCACTTGGCGTCTCAGAGCGGCTTACAAACTCCTTTCCCTTCCCCTCCCCATAACAGGTATCCTGGGGCTGAGAGAACTCTGACACAAACTGCTCTTTTTCAAGGACAGCTGTGCCAGAACTTGTGACTGACCCAAGGTCACATCAGCAGGTGCAAGTGGAGGAGTGGGGAATCAAACCCGGTTCTCCCAGATTAGAGTCCGCACACTTAACCACTACCCCAAACTGGTATATAACCTCGATCTCTGGCATTTTGTGGTTGGCCCCACTGCCCACAGCAGCCGTTTTGTAATAGTGCCGACCATGCTGAGTCAGGATTCCAAAGGTGCCCAGAGGCTCAAGAAATATTAGGGACCTCTGGTCTAGGTCAGTATCTCATGTATCACGTATCATTCGGTTTCGCTGGATTTCCTGCCGTTTCAGAAAACACGCTGGAATTTTTAAGAGTTGAAACCACGTGAATAAGTTAAACAGACAAACTAAAACAAGCAAGTAATGCACAGGGGGTGTCTTGTGTGGACCACCGAAGAGTGCTATTTAAATGCTCAGAATTTCCCTTGCTTGGTCACCTGGAGGAGGAAAGCAACTCGCCCCAGACGAGCGACTATTCCCTTGCCTGCTTGGCTTTCTTACTTTGGTGACCATCAGCTGGGCAACGGTGTTCGTCTCGTAGATGCGAAGCATGGTTTCCGCCGTGACTTCTTCCAGGGTGGCCACCACGTTGATACCAGCGTTGTTGACCAGGCAATTCAACCCTTTATCCCCGACGATATCCTCCACTTCTTTGACCACTTTCTTGATGCTGCTTTCGGAAACCACATCTGGAGTCAAGGAAAGAAAGCGGTTGCGGTCACGAAAGAAAGGTTCTGGGGCTCAGAGTTCAAACGGTGGGCACCCCACGCTCTTGTCCCACTCCGGCTGGGATGAGAAGAAAGATAAGGGGGAGTTTCAGTGTAGAAGTCAGCACAGCATAGAACACATCGAGGTCAAAGGTGTTTTCTATGTTATATCCACTCCTGCTGAGTGCAGTTAACCTGCACAGGAAAAAATTCTCAGCGGGCTGCGTATGAACGTACCTGACTACTACAGCCATGTGTGGAGGCCCTGAGGAATTTCACATTACCCTTTTTAACCCATTTTGAAGCCGTTTTTGATCCGTCATGGAGTAAACCGGTATAGGGCTGCCATTTCACACATGGCTTTTCCCTTCCGGTAAAGAGCTGGATCTGAAGCGGTTTGCCATTTCAGACTGCACCGCTTTTTCCTTTTTTTGAACGTTCGCTTTAGAGCGCTATAGCACTATAGTGCTATAACACAACACTCCAGACATTCCAATGGGGTTGATATAATGCTGTTGTGTGATACTGTTATAGCGCTATAATGCTATAAAGCGAACATTCCCCCCATTTTGAAGCCGTTTTTGATCCGTCGTGGAGTAAACCGGTATAGGGCTGCCATTTCACACATGGCTTTTCCCTTCCGGTAAAGAGCTGGATCTGAAGCAGTTTGCCATTTCAGACTGCACCGCTTTTTCCTTTTTTTGAACGTTCGCTTTAGAGCGCTATAGCACTATAGTGCTATAACACAACACTCCAGACATTCCAATGGGGTTGATATAATGCTGTTGTGTGATACTGTTATAGCGCTATAATGCTATAAAGCGAACATTCCCCCCCCCAAAAAAAAAGCTGGAGATCGCCCGCGCAGGCGAAAACGGCGGGGGAAAGCGCATCGGAACTGGGAGAGGAAACTGAAGACTACTTGGAAGCGGGTGACAGGTAAAACGCTTCAGCGTTTGTGTGTGAAATCACAAATATATTCCGGTAGGGAACCGGTTATAAACGGTTCTGTCTGAAATGACAGACCAGAAACCATTCGGGAACCGTTCCTCTTCTGGATTATATCCTCTGTCTGAAATTCCTCCCTGTTTCAGGTACCTCTGCCTTCTAAGATTAGGTGAGGGGTAACCAAGGAGAGGATCTTCTTGGTAGTGGCGCCAGAGCTCTAGAACTCTCTCCCCAGTGAGACTCATCCATCCCCTTCTGTTGCCATCTTTCACCAGCGGGTGAGAGCCAACATGGTGTAGTGATTAAGAGCAGTGGACTCTAATCTGGAGAACCGGGTCAGATTCCGCACTCCTCCATAAGAAGCCAGCTGGGTGACCTTGGGTCAGTCACAGCTCTCTCAGCCAAAAAAAAACAAAGGTCAAGCTCGCCACCCAGTGGTGCATAACGCTAAAAGAGTTAGAACTTAAGGCTGCCAGGCAATCTTAGGATCCCCGGGCTATTCTACACACAAAGCCATACGACAATTATTAATTATTATTACTAGCCGGTGAAAACTTTCTTGTTTCATCCTGAACATTCGCAGCGATCCCGTGTTTTAATTCTCGGTCTTATCTTTTTTGTATGCATATTTCAGCTCTAGTTCCAATTGTTTTAATGACGTGTTTTTTGCTGGTTTTAAAGACACAATTTTGTTATGTTCTCAGTTTGTTAGCTGCCTTGGTGGCGCTGCTGAGGGCAGAAAAGGCAGGATATATATTTTCTTAAATGAAAGTAAAATCTGTCTGGCTTCGGTAGCAGGGTGGCTCTAGCCACTCCACCCAGATTCTCAACACTTTTCCTTGCCCTTTCCACTCCACCCTGTTCCCTCAAGGCCACACAGATCATAAGAACATAAGAGATGCCAGTGCTGGATCAGGCCAAAGGCCCATCCAGTCCAACACTCTGTATCACACAGTGGCCAGAAATACCAGGTCGGAGAAGAAAAAAGGGAAAAAAACTGAACCTAAACCTAGAATTCAGAACTTAAAAACGTTAGTCAGGAATAGAAAAGGGCCAACTCTAAAAATCTAATCATAAAATATACAAAATTATATACCGTATGTGTGTTTACTCAATATAAATTAAAATAACAAACAAGGGCCCATTCATACCTCATATAAAACTATAAAAACATACAAGGGCTAATAAAATAGACCTAATCAGATAGACCTAATGCGTTTCGGCCTTTACAGGCCTTCTTCAGAGGTCTAATGCATACAGAACATATAGGCTGATGTGTAAAAATACATACAATTCTACATATACAAAATATGGACTAAAGACCAGAGATCAATTGTTCCAAAGTTTAACCACTGGGCAAGGAAAAGAAATACAGAAATACAAATGAAGCCTCCAGTGAAATCACATGTCCAGTGGTACTTATCTCTAGTCAACTGTTTTTACAGGCCTTCTTCAGAGGTCTAATGCATACAGAACATATAGGCTGATGTGTAAAAATACATACAATTCTACATATACAAAATATGGAATAAAGACCAGAGATCAATTGTTCCAAAGTTTAACCACTGGGCAAGGCAAAGAAATACAGAAATACAAATGAAGCCTCCAGTGAAATCACATGTCCAGTGGTACTTATCTCTAGTCAACTGTTTATTCATCTAAGGTTGTACAGCCAAATGTTCCAAATGTTCCTTAGGTTACCTAAGGAACATTTGGAACATTTGGCTGTACAACCTTACATGAATATACAGTTGACTAGAGATAAGTACCACTGGACATGTGATTTCACTGGAGGCTTC